TGTATATGACCTTTTCTTTCTGTCGGTGAACAATACAAGTATTGTTTTTGTGCTGTTATTGAAAAGTGGTCTGTAACCGGAATTTTCAGAAACACCCACACAAACATTATACAATGAAAAAACATAAATTACATTTAGAATCATCCAGATTAATACTACACAACTGACTGAGACTATCACAGCATTAAATGTGTATGCGAAGAATAAAGGGAAATTCTTGTTACCTTTAGTTAGTGACTTAGACAGAGTGGTAACACTGAGAGGTATTCTTTTTGCCATCAGCTAAAAGTTCACCAGCTATCAAGGAACTCTTTTGGTGTGTTCCAAATCTTATTATAATTAAGCAGACATCAACTAAGTTATCATACTTGGAAAATCTGTAATATTTGGGGGACGTATTAGCATAGAAAAGTATAGCTAAGATTTTTATGGTGAATCCTCCTAATCAGTGATAAATTAAGGATTAGATGGGGCACATTTGTGTCGGAGACTAATTTTAACAAGCTTTCGATAGAATATTTTTGGTTGCGGTACAGGCACAAGGCCTAAAATCTATCCAGTTTCTGACTCATTATCGGGTACATCCATGGTTGACAACCACCAATCAACAGGCAGTTTCTGTCTAGTTGATATTCATTGGAGGAGTGAATAAATAAGTTTACAGAAATTCAAACGAAGAAACTTGAAGCCAAATATATATATATATTTATTTATTTATAAATTGCATGTCTTCATAACCACTTCCACTTTAATAACTTTCTGATAATCATGTGCTTGAAAAAACCTAGAGGCGTAGAACATTGCAGCTGCTTTCAATATGTTTGAATGACAATTTCAAAATCAACAACAAGTAAATGTCGGAAATAAGTGAATGCTTTGTCATTTACCTAAATATAACTTGATATTCCAGTTAAATCGATCACTTGGTTTGCATTGTGTTCTCTGAGCTCAGAAAACACAATACAACCAGGACCATCCACCTCAGCTACAAATATTCTCCACTATTTCAAATCGATCACTGCTCACAAACTAAATTTTGGCTAAAAACTTGAAGTTCAGAAAGAGATAAAACTCCTCTCTTTATTTTCAACAAAAAACCTGGTTGAAGAAATGATTTTCAACTTCTAAACACAATAAGAAGTCTCAGTTTCTAAATCACGTTATTCCAAGGTAAATACCATTTGATTGAGTTGCAAGATGCATCCAGATAGAAACCCTTTTTATTTGAAGTCAAAGCTGAAAAAGGTGTGAAAATACTGAGGCTTTTGAAGATATGAAGATTACCTTTGATACATTAAGATGCATTAAAACACTCTATCTAGGACTAAAACTCATGTCCATAAGCCAAGTGTAAATTTGCAAGATGAAAAAGGTTAGATAGTGTAGCAGTGACAGCGACTGTCTCTAAGAATGACCAAATGAAATTAAAGGCCAAAGAGTTCATAGTTCTATAAAAGCTCTTCTACAACCTATAATTAGACAACAGTCAAGGTCAACAAAGACTAGTCATTTTTATGGCGTAGTGTTCACCAAGCTGGATGGTTTAATCGTACAGCTTTCATTTTCACTCTAGACAGCATCATCAACGCACACTTCGGAGAAACGTTTGTGTTGATGATGTTGTCTAAAATGAAAATGAAAGCTCCTTGATTAGACTATCCAGCTCGGAGAACAAAATACCATCAAAATTTAAAACAAAATATTCAGTGAAGAGGACTCTTTTCAACGAATTTATACTCAAGTTGTACATTCGCATATATATATATATATATATATATATATATATAATATATATATATATATATATATATATGGCATTTAAAGACTGTAATCCGTGAGAAAGTCTTAACCTAAATAACAGAAGAATGAAATAACAATAATGTTGGTTATAATAATTTTGCTAGTTGATGACGTAAAAGTTGAATAATAACAAAAACGGTTAGGAAGATTTTTAAATCGTCTATTATCCTCCTGATCTAGAAATATTCCCCATCATCTCAAAAGGCTGGAAAAAAAATTCGTGTAGCATATGAATAAGACTTACTACTGCATGAAGTAAGTGTTCGGAATTTCACTATGTTTAGTGATAAGGCGTCCATTAGAAAATATCGAAGCTTAGAGGACATCAAATCATTATTGTCTGCATTGTAAACTAGAAAGCTTTTCTATCATTTGACATACCTTGTATTTCATTTTTTTTTTTGATTGTTTCAAGCTGATGGGACCAACAAAGTCTACATCCCTTGGACCTTGTCAAATATTTGTTCAATGAGTAAATATAGATACAACTGGATCTCTACCTTCACAGTGATGAAATGCAAATAAATTTGGAGCCTTGTGGCTTTTTGTTCTCACAACACATATGTGTATTTGATAACGACACTATGTGTTGCTTTTATCGCCTGAAGTACTTCATCAAACGAATTCTATCTGTTTTTCATCTACCATCATCGTTTACTGAGCTAAATCTTTGTTCATTGGATGATGAGTTCAAAAGACCGAATCCTGACATCGCTACTGTACGTTTGCTGTTTTATTTCTTTATTGGTTTAAATGTTTACCAAGGACTTATATTCATAAATCAAAACTGAGCGTATGTAGTCCACCTTCTTCGTCTGAAAACACCATTCAGTTTGAAAGACACAGATAAATATCTGAAATATCTAAATACTAGCTATATAATCTATTAAGCATCAGTGAGTGTGTAAAGTCTCGTAAGTTTTGTTTTAAAGTCAATGCATCCATCCATAGACAGCTGCCATTTTGAATCTCCTTTGTACCGTTTAACAGCTGCATACTCACAGTCTACAGATTAACCGTTTATAACCAGACAAGTGTTAACGTTTCTCTTAAAATAACCTTTTATCTGCAGAGTAATTTCAGACGTTTTCAATACTTTCTTTGCCACGGGATTCAGTAAGTCATGGCGTCGGCCATAAAGGCTATTTTGTTATATGCTCTGTTAACCAAACCAGATGAGTATTATTGTGAAGGCAACTATTGGCACTCTGTGAAAATGAATATTTTGAAGTCACCTACAAGTGAACAACCGAAGTTCATTCATGTGCCTCAATTATATTAATAAGCTGAATAGTTTTATTGAATAATATATAATTAAATTTATCTTCTAAATTTTCCTTAGTGCCTACAAGGTATGTTTTACTTAATATGTACCAAATGTAAGTCAAATTGAGAAAATGTGTGTAACTGCAACTGGGTTTGGTAATAAAATCCTGGCTATAGTGAATGTAAATGCTTAATAAAAACCAAGAAGTTACTTACAGATACAATATGCTGAAGGATAAAATTCCCTCATTTCAGCCCTATTACGGTCAAGAATTATATTTATGAAGGATGAGTCCTGATAATTACGATAACTGTGATAGGTTTAAGTTCAATTAAATAATAAAAGGTACAAATTGTATGGATTATTAAGAAGCTTAATGATGTTCCTTGAATGTCCATTTAATAAAACAGTTTATAGATTGGAATTCACTTTGATTTCAATAAAATTTAATAAGTTAGTTATGAATGATCAGTGATCGAAAACCTTTTCCATACCATTTTAGTTAAGTTAGGATGCAATGCTAAATAAAGGATTTTATCGTGTCAACATTCATCTACCAAAGGTCATTGCTAAGTAAGAAAAAGAAGGACCTACAATAAATCGACAAAAATCTGATTATCAGTATGTTGATTTAAGTTAATTTCCATGTCACAGATTATAAAAAAGCAACAACAGCACTTTTGACCTTGATAGTTCATTTCTATGGATATGTCATTTCCATATCACACTTGGCCGTTTCTATTTATATACATAAATAAACACGTGGACAATTGAAGCATGAAAACAATAGTCTACTTCGAGGCTACTGAAAAACGTGAGAAGAAGGAGGTTCTTCCAGTCGTGAAGCTGTGTCACATCTAAGGAATTTAGGATTTCTTCCAATTTTCTAACGCCAGACTATCGCGTTGAATATAAATCGGTTATCAGTTTCTTATCAAATTGATAAAATCTAATCTAATATTTCCTCGAACTCAATAACATAACACTTATATCAGATTTTTAACTAGTTAGCATTAGGGTTTAATAATTCTTCGTGATCTGAAAATGAATAGTATTCTTTACGATAACTTCTGAAAGTTAGTTTAGCAGGAGCTATGAATTTTTAGCGCGACTGCTTCACAATCCAATGCAGTCTTGCAGTTTCATGAATTAGGCCTCGAGGCCCACATATGTTAAATGTTCAACAATGCCTGAATAAATAAAGACCTTAAAGATTAGAAACTTCAGTCATCTGAATGATATCCTTGTCCTTGTAACATTCTGGGAGTAACCTAATCATGTCGGTTAGCTTGAGTCAATTTTACCTATTAATTTTCCTGTAGGAAATAAACGTCTTCATAGCTATAGTCACTGTTGTAAAACTACCTAAAGCTTATGTTTGTGCATATATATATATATATATATATATATAGATTTATATTATATGTAAGTAATTACTGAAGCTGAAATTCAACACTCTGGTGAGGCGTGAATTCACAACTTTCTAGTACATGATTGACCACATGTTGGACAATCTGAGTTGAGTTACACCATTCACTTCTTTTAATGTAACCATCTAGTTTTGGTTATTCAATTTGATCATATCTATGAGAACTGACTCAACTTGTTCTAGTAAAAACAGTGTTCCATCTTCCATCGAATGTAATTAACACGCCCTATTACTCTATCAGTGTAGGAAATTAAAGGTGGTAAAAGTGAATTTTGGTTTCCTTTGTTTCTGGCAGTATAAACGATCTGGACAAAAATTCTGGCTGCCAAAGAAAGTCAGCACTTTAATTGAAAAGATCAAAATATGCTTTTTTGCAGGTTTGAACTTTGAACAAACAAAATTCGACATTTTATATTTCAATCAACAAAACGTCAATAAGTAATTTCCAAATTCCTTAATAACAACCTAGTTGGTTGTAATAGTTCTCACCTGTTCATTTAAGTCATGAAATGGATGCCTATCGTTTCAAATTACTGCTCCAAAAATCATCCGTTTCCTTGTTTTCTAGTACTTCACTTAGCATTTGACAACTGTGATTCTGAAAATCAACCAAGGCATTGCTACACATTCCATGCTTTATTTCAATTGAGTTCAGATTTGTTACATAATCATTCTAATGGTTAGTCCAGTACTTGATTCTATACTTGTCTATCATATAAAATTTCAGTTTTGTTTTCTATACATATCACTTACAAAATTCGGTTTTATTGCTATTCAGATAAACTCAGTTCCTCATTTGCTGTTTGCTTTGATTTATTTTCAGTAAAAAGAAATACACATTTCAATTGATTCAAGAAGAGCCAAATGTTTCGGTGTATTCCATTTAATAATCATTTTCAGTTCACCAACTCCTTCGCTATACTTGCATAAAACTCAATCATACCATTGCAGAATTATTGGTCACTTTGACAGCTTATCTATTTCCCCAAACGTCCCTAAACTGGCTACTACCTAAACACCGAGAACGATTTTCAGATTGACTATCTGCGTATTTCTCGTCTTATTAAAAATATCATAAAGTAAGGAATCCAAGATGATTTACAAATAATGGTAAATGTTACTAATTCTCACATAACACGTTTTATAGCAATTGGTGGAAATCAATTCACACACACAATTTTAACCAGGTTATCAGCCAAAGCAAATAGCATACGATTTTCAGGAAAATGATCAATACAGTTCTTGTACATGAACCATTGCACTATCATTCTTCCTGTTTTGTATGACTGCATATATAAGTGTGCATAGAAGTGTATGTTCCTATGCCTACATGTCCTTATAATTCATCAGCTTTTCACTAATTTCAAGTGTGCACATAGGTATATCACTAAGTTTACTTTGTTATCATCTACAAATTTTGATTAAACTGCATGACAAACAACAGCACACAGTATAGTCTGGATTTAACCTTACTGTTAAACAATTAGCTAAATAAAAATCACTAATATAATCTGAATGATAATAGCATGAATACATGCACATAAAAACACATTCATGAACATACATCCTAGTAGTAGATTCTAAGCAAAAGAAATCCCTTTTATAGGGCAGAACACCTAAAAAGAATTTTAGACATGAAAAATAAGTTTCATTTCACTGGCAGTTTCCAAAAAGGTATATATACATATAAATTATTGTTGGCAATCATATAAGCGTGCAAAACTCCCTTCTTTCTTTCATTGCCAAAACTTTAATCAAGTGAGTCTGATAACATGCTTTTCATTAAAGTTTTTCCTAATCTTTTCACAATTTTTTGAAGTTCCTATTGCATTAACTTTGTCTATAGCATTGAAATTGTTCAGTGTAAATAAGGTAAAGTTGATAGAAATAACTGAGAAAGATTTCTATGTTTAACCTCTTACTTTATGTACTTTTTTCTTATCTCGCTGTCATTATTTTTCGAAATTAAACTTGCTCAGTATGTGCTTTAAGAGTAAACAAAGAATTTAAGTCAGTAAGATAGTTTCACTTGAGTACATGACGAAATATGTTTAGAAATATTTATAACGAAGTTATCTTTCATATACAGCGTATGTATTGTAGAATAATAACTGAACAAGGAGTATTCCTTCTGATTACTTTTTTTCAAGTTAAGCAACTACTGATATATACTTCGAACATCATGGAGAGAGATGATCGAAAATGCCACCTTTAATTCAGTTACCATAGTCATTACGTTAAATGTTTTCTAGACAACTCAATAATTCCTCAACTCTAATTTGCTTTCGAACACAACAGGGAGTAATGTTTTTTTAATAGGTCCTCTATTCCTAGTTAAGAGTAATAATTTCTGGCGCTGTTCCCATAATCTAACCTTGAAATGAATGGTTTCCGTCATAATAGTATTATTTTGTTGGTTAGCTAAGTTTAAAGGTTGTGCTTGCGGCTATTTATGACAGTGTTCATGCACGCAATTTAACTAACTTGAACAGCTGAGAAGTACCTGAATTGATACTTTAGCGACTAAGTCTAATTTGTACCCTTATACGTCGTAAAAACGAAACCAAACGAAAGAATTCCAGAAATTAACTAACTGTTCAGTTCCACTTGTCCAGTTATTGTTCTCAAAAGCCATTGTAACCAAGGAATCGATTCAGTGCAACTATTTACTTGAGTCGCTTGATTGCAATAAAATTACAAACTAATTCTTAAATCATTTCCTTCAGTTTCAACAGCTCATGTAATTCGGAAGCAGGTTTCATATTGTCCACTAGGTTGGTTTTATTATTATTTCTTATCCTCTGAGAAGGATCTCCTCGATCTGCTTACCATTCATAGGAAATGGGTGACAGGAAACCATATGCAAATATTTCATAGTCATATTATTATTTGAAGATTCAGTTGTAAAGATAGAACGTTAAATATAGCTTTCACTTTGAGGTTCAACAAATACTGCGTTCAAGAATAGGTAAAGTAATGGTCGTATTGTGTTCTCTGAGCTGAATTGTTTAATTTCGAAGCTTTCATCATCTTTCTAGACGACATCTTCAGCACTAAATTCAGCATGAAGCGACTAAATTTAGTGCTGATGATGTCGTCTAGAAAGATGATGAAAGCTTCACGATTGAACAACCCAACAGAGAGAACATAATGCAACCAACTTGAGCTACAAATATTCTCCACTCTTTCAAAATAGGTGTAGTAATCACATCTAAGATTAATATACCTTTTAAGTGAAAAATAGGTCCACTGATTATTACATTGTAACTACCGAGGAAGTGAATTACTTACATCGCTGAGTTGTTTCTTAAGGAATATTCTGGAGTAGCTAAATATTCTGATCAATTACATTGGGAGATACTGAATAAGACTACTTACTTTTTGCTGTTATCGAGTGGGTTGAATAGGCCCTTAAGCTAGAGAAGCAGGTAACAGCTCCTTTTTCTCATCATTGATCACATTTGGTAACAGAGTGGAACCAGAAAATAAAGTGGCAATACTTCCTAATGAATTTTCAGTACAAATAATTCTCATCATGTCTCAGTTGCGTTGTTGAATACCAATCATGGGAATCAAGATGTAAATACCCAGTGATATCAAGTTAGCCAGTGTGGTGAAATATAGGTGACTTTAAAGGCTACCCTAGAAATGGTTAAAATAACCAATTAGACTTCTTTCTTTCGGCTGGAAAGGCAGATTTTCATAAAATAAAGAAATCTGATTGGTTATGTCAGTTTTTGCTAGGGTAGCTTTTAAAATCACTCATGATAAATTGATAAAAGGAAGTACAAGTTAAGCCTATGAAGCCTGCTAACGAATGTAGGTATAACAAGAAAATAGAATTTTTGCGTAAATGTTTCTCTTATTCCATCTTCGTTTGTGCAAATTATAGTTGAAATTAACACTGGATTAGTGAATCTTCATAACAAAAACAAAAGTATGACGTGAAGTTCGAAATGTGAACATACATAACATTTGTTCAAAAACATTCCATTTATTCAAACTTTCTACACAGGAGAAGTAAGTAGAAGTCTGTTCAATACAATCAGTTAAAAAAAAGCATACACATTCTAATAGTTAGTTACTGTTTATATTCTGGGATGAAGAGAGGGTAGGTAAACTGAAACAAACTGAATTTGATTTAGACCGCTCCGTAGTTTTAACCCTACTTAGGTAGGCTAAATCAGCATTAGTGTTTGGACAACACTAATAACCGAATTTGCCTTAAGTAGACATAGTTGATCAAGAATGCCTAGAAGCTAAGTGATTATTCTCCGACATTCTGCTGCAGCACTTTGGTAATAATATCATACATAACAGTAATAGAAGTGCTTAGTTAGCAAGATTTTTGTAATTTTCAATCTCACTTCTGCCTGAATGATCATTAAATGCTGCATAAATTGTCAATAATAAGTATATTTATCGACATATTAAGCTATTTTGAAAATGCTCTTCCGTTTAGCATATTGTGAATTAAAACGTATGGTAATCAACATTTGTTTGCTGTGGCTGTTCTGCGAAAATAGTAGTGCTTGATTTTTGATACCTTGAGTCGAGAATGAATAGTGTATGCCGAGTTAAGCACTGACTATGATTATCGCATACCTTCTTTGAATAATATGCATACCAAGCGTTCAGACCGGTTAGGACTTCAACAGGACTACTTGAAGTACAGGTCACATGATTTGACGCGTATGTTTTTTAAATGAAACTGTGATAACTGACTAACAATTATATGGTTATGTGAATAACTGTACAATAAACAACAGATTTCAATTATTAAGAGTTGCGCCTACTTTACAAAATTACTCGCTCATTTGCAAGTGATTTATAGACGCATTTAATAACTTTGCTGTTAAAACTTGACGTCTTTTTACATTCTATAATCTATGGAGAAACTTTAATGAATTCGCACTATGCAGGGAATAAATTGCCAGAATTTGAAATCAAAACATTGTGCCTCAATGGTCATATATTCAAAATGAGGCCTAACGGTTTTGAGTTTGGTAGCGTTTAAAACCTCATTTGTGCAGTTCTCAGGAGCCATAAGCCACGATTATATATATATATATATATATATATATATATATATATATATATATATATATATATAACTCCTGGTTATCAGTTGTTCTCTAGTTTATAATGAGTACATTATTATTATTTATCCTTTGGGTTCCTAGTGGAACATAGGGCTTCAGTAGCACGTCTCCAGGGTACTCTGTTTTCTGCAATCTTTTGAACCTGGCTCCACGACTGTCCAGTAGCCCTCATTTCTTCCTCACATGATCTCCTCCATGTCACCCTCGGACATTCATGTCGAGCAATTACAGAACTCTTAAGGAAGAAAAGTAGCAGTAAAACGATAAGAAATTACCAATATGTTCCTAGTAGAAAGTATAAAAACCCATTCGCATGGACTAATCTATTCAAACGTTTCCTAATATCTAGCTGTTTCATCAGATTATCTTTCCGCCACTGCATTATCTGTAGTGGATGGTTGAATCGTGAATCATTTACTGTGATTCTATAAGTATCATCACATATTTGGGACAAGAACGAACTTTAAGAATTTCACAAGTGGCTATAATAACTTGTGTACTATTCTCACCACTATATACTTTTAAAAGTTTGGGTTGATAATGTGGTCTAGAATTGCAATGAAGGCCTCTTGAATAAGCAGTACATCCCAATGAAAGCAATACCACAAAATCGTCTTTCTGTCTTTGTAGTCTTTCTTTCTTTGTATCACTCGTTGAACGAAGAGAGCTGTAGCATTCTCATAAAGACTCTATCTTTTTGGCTGCATTGTGTTCTCTTAGCTGGATTGTTTAGCTATGAAGCTTCCATCGTTTTTCTAGACGACATCTTCAGCACTAAATTCAGCATGAAGCGACTAAAGTTAGTGCTGATGATGTCGCCTAGAAAGAAGATGAAAGCTTCACGGCTAAACAATCCCGCTCAGAGAACATAATGCAACCAAGACCATCCACCTGAGCCACAAATATTCTACACTAATCTATCTTCGTGTTTACAAATATATTCAAATTTAGTGGACGTTTTAGTAAACAATACGTAAGACGTCATTTTTATGTAATTTTGAACAATACACGATTATTTCCACTGATACCTGTTCGCATAAAAGCAGATTTAACCAATCAGAATTGTTCAATACGCTTTGTACTTCTTTAGTCGACGGTAGATAAGTTTCTAAGATGAAGTTTACAAATAAACTGAGTGCGTATCTTATAACACTTAGTTGATTGATCAATTCTTTCCCTAAAAAACTGCATATTTCTTGACATTTTAAATTCCGGTTACGATTCACTATAATTTGTATACATCCACAATAATGTTTTGTTTTTATATCTTTCGAACTGGAGAATGGTAATTAAATTGTCGTTATCTGTTTTGTTGGACAGAATTTGTGCTATTTTCTTGACACAGCTATTGAATTATATTAATTATCTGCAGTTAAGATGCACTTTCACAATTAGCTTTACATGAAAAACAATTGGAAAAAACAAGCTTTCTTCTTGCATTTTAGATTGCTTTAAGCGACAATGATTCCATTATTGTGATTATTTATCAGGTATTAGAGGAAGTTTTGTTATTACAATAATTTCAGCAGAAAGTAACACGTCACTGCAAATTTTATGAAATGGCATAATAAGTAAGGGATATGTAAATGTGTTCTCACAATACTGTTTGTGTATCGGTATACCTTTGACTTGCTTTTTCTCCCTAATACTTATGCC